TGAGGTAATGTAGGTTGTTGGTTATGATGAACATAGGTCTTAAATAATGATGGAAATGAAGTAAAAAAATATTTCACGGTTAAATTTATTCTGTAATGCACTATTAGTTGAGAGATAGACAAGACGGCGAATAAATTTCGTATGTCCAATATTGCAAATCACACTGTTTTTATTGATGATTAATAGAGTGAATATTTGTCTTATACATCTTCGACACTGGAGTTCCTGAAAACATTGTCAACATTATTCAAAACTCATATGATGGACTACAGTGCAAAATCGTGTATGGAGGACAGCTGACAAATGCATTTCCAGTAGGAGTCAGACAAGGCTGTCTACTCTCCCTCTTCCTTTTGGTGATTGACTGGATTATGAAGACTTCGACTTTTGAGGGGAAACACGGAATACAATGGACATCTCAGAATCTTTTAGATGATTTGGACTTCGCAGATGACTTAGCCCTCCTCTCTCATACACACGAACAAATACAGACGACGACAACAACAAATGTAGCAGCAGCATCTGCATCAACATACACAAAGGAAAAAAGCAAGATTCTCAAATAAAACACAGAGAACACCAACCCAATCACACTTGTTGACAAAATTCTGGAAGAGGTGGAGACATTCACTTACCTGGGAAGCATCGTTGATAAACAAGGAGGATCGGATGCAGATGTAAAGGTGAGGATTGGCAAAGCAAGGGCAGCATTTCTACTATTGAGGAACATATGGAACTCAAAACAACTCTCAACTAACTTCAAAGTCAGAATCTTCAATACGAACGCCAAGACAGTCCTATTGTACGGAGCTGAAACGTGGAGAACTACTACATCCATCGTCAAGAAGGTACAAGTATTTATCAACAGTTGTCTACGCAAAGTACTCAACATCCATTGGCCGGATACTATCAGGAACAGCGTTTTATGGGAGAGGACAAACCGGTTTCCAGCTGAAGAGGAAATTAGGAAAAGACATTGGAAGTGGATCGGACATACATTAAGGAAATCAGCAACGTGCATTACAAGGCAATCCCTAACTTGGAGTTCGGAAGGCCAAAGAACACATTACGCTGGGAAATAGAAGCAGATATGAAAAGGATGAATATCAACTGGAAAGGAAGGCTCAGGACAGAGTTGGATGGAGAATGCTGGTGAGCGGCCTATGCTCCTCGACAAGGGGTAACAGGCGTACGTAAGTACATCCGTAGAGTTTACGTCTGGTTCTTTCGTATCTATTTAAAAAATGAAAGGGTTGACTAATATTCATTTTAGATACATCTGTTTCATTTTGATCTTTTGTTGTTATAAGTTTGACAGTCAGTCAGTCAGCTACAACGTAGGACCAGGCACATTTATGCATCGGTCCAAGTTGCCATACCTCGTTAGCACAACAAGATGAACACCGGATTCATAGAAGTAATTAATGTAGTGGTGGTAGTAGTATATAAATTATAGGTTGTATATAAGGATATAGTATAGGAAGGAAGAGAGATATGAAGCAATTTTAGTCTCAAGGTTTAAAGGAAGAGTGTATACACCTACGCCATTGTGATCGATTCTGAGCCATGTCACCTAGAGTCTCCAACCATTGGTTACGATAGTTACGCGGACCCCAACCAGGTAGTCTGCATCTACCAACATGGCTCAGACTAGAAGTTAGTGACTTCAAACACTGATGCCATGTTTTGGTTTGGCCGCCCCTAACTCTCTTCCAACAATCACCTACACTAGTCATCATAGCGTGTCGTGGTAATCGGTGTTCAGGCATACGTAACACATGGCCCAACCATCTCAGTCGATGAAGATTTATCACCTCATCAACTGATTTACCATCGTTCCCTAATACCCTGCGTCTAACCCCACTATTACTTATCCGGTGATCCCAGCAGATGCGAGCAATATTTCTAAGGCATCTGTGGTCAAATACTAGTAACCTACGAGTATCTTCTACTCTTAATGGCCACGTTTCACAGCCGTAAAGTGGAACAGAGCGAACTGCTGCGCAGTATATTTGTCCCTTAATTGATAGACGGATATCTCATCTTCGCCATAGGTGACGTAAGTTGGCAAAAGCCAAACGAGCTTTTTGAATCTGTGCTGAGATTTCGTCAGACACCAACCCATTAGGGCTGATCAGACTTTCAAGATAAGTGAAGTTGTCGACGCGTTCGACTACTTCACTCCCTATCCTTAGTTCAGGTGTTGATGCAGGCCAGTCCTGGAGTAACAATTTACATTTGGATGGAGAGAATCGCATCCCAAACATCCTGGCATTATTACTGAGTTCCAACAGAAGACTGCATTTTGCCAGCGTCTTCACCAAACAGGACTATGTCATCTGCCTATTCTAAGTCGATTAGTGGTCCCCCTGGTAGGAGATCAATTCCTGTAAATTCAGTCGACGAGAGTGTTATTTGCAGCAACAGGTCTATAATAAAATTAAACAAAAATGGGGATAGTGGACAGCCTTGACGGACACCACTTGAGGTTGTAAAATCATATGACAGTTCGCCATAAGCTCTCACTCGACTGATAGTGTTCGAGTAAAGAGCGTTCACAAGGTTTATGTACTTCTCAGGTACACCTTTCAATGACAGACACTGCCACAGAACCTCTCGGTCTACAGAGTCAAATGCTGCTTTTAAGTCAAGAAAAACTATCATTGTCGGACGCCGATAAGCGTGTCTGTGCTCTAAAACTTGACGAATGGTGAATATGTGGTCGATACAGCCACGACCAGGTCTGAAGCCAGCCTGATTTTCTCGTGTTTGCAGTTCACGAGTCTTAGTTAGGCGCCCGATAATTATTGAGGCTAGTATTTTAGATGCTATGTTAGTCAGGCTAATCCCTCTATGGTTATTAAAGGATGATTTTGACCCCTTCTTATATATTGGGACAATCGGTGATTGTGACCAGTCAGATGGGATTACATCCGTCTCCCAGATTTTAGCCAGAATATTAGTCAACCTAATCTCTAAAATCGGACCACCATATTTAAAGACCTCTGGAGCCAACCCATCTGGACCAGCTACTCTTCCTCGTTTCAGATTACTTATAACCTTTTAAACTTCAAGTAGGGTCGAGGGGCCTACTTCAATGTTCCATTCAGGTTTTCTGGGAATAGTGGGTAGTTGTGCAGTAGCTGAAGGCCAGCTAAACTGCTCCTTAAAGTGTTCCGCCCATCGTTCTAAACGTTTGGGTTGAGAGCAGATAAGGGTTCCGTCTTTTTCGGAGATTGTCTCACTTACACTTGACTTCTTAATTCCGGTTTCTTTTATTAGTCTCAATAGTTGCCTGGTGTTCCCTACAGCCGCTGCCTTTTCCATCTCTTTTGCTTTCGTTGCCCACCACTGCTCACGATCATTCTTTAAACTTTTAGTTAACCTAGATCTAATTTCTTTACGCTCTTTGTCATGTTCAGAGCTTGATGGGATGAGTTTACGGGAATCCATCAGTGAAATAGACTTAGAAGAAATCCACTGGTTTTTTGGAGCCCTATGGTTTAAATGACTAATAGATGTTACCGCTGTTTCCACAGCTGTTCGTATGTCTTTCCAAGCAGCATCTGTGTCAGTCTTGTTTACAGAACTGCCTAGATGTGAACTTAGTTGTTTCTGGAATTCGCATTTGGCTTTCTCATCCTCCAGTTCAATCCTAATGGGTCTTCTTAGTGTACTTTCCTGCGTCCATTGAGGCGCAGACAAATGCGCGCTCGTATTAAAGTGTGATCAGAGTCTAAACAAGTATTCCAATACGAGCGACAATCTTCTATTGAGCCTCTCCAACGATGACAATATGGTCTATTTGAGTCCATCGTTGGTTTGGTGCAGGTGGTCGCCATGTTAGACGATGTCTCTCCTTATGTTTAAAATTAGTGCTTGCTAGAAATAAACGATTGTCTGAGCATAGTTGCAACAGACGATCACCATTATCGGTTCGTTGAGCCGGAATACTAAAACACCCACCTAAATGTCTTTCTGTTTGATTCAAGCTGCCTACCTGGGCATTAAAGTCACCCGCTACGACTACTATGTCTGAGCGCTTAGCTTTCTGTAAAAGTCATCTTTCACTTCATCATGGTTGCAGTCGGTGGGAGCGTAGGCAGAAACGACGAAAAGGCAACGACGTGTGTCCCTATCCTTCCGAGTTTTTACGGAGCCATTCAGCCGGACAGCACACAAGCAACTGTCAACGGGGATCCATTCTAGTAGTGCCTGTTCTGCCCTTATACATAATGCTATGCCTACACCTGCAAGTCCACGAGAACTAGCCACCGAGTCGCCAGATACACGGAGGGTGTATTTCGTTGGCTGTCCATTTTGGCGAGGTGAGGTCAAGTGAATAACCACACTGGGATCCTGTATGCGTGTTTCGGAGACACAGCATACATCAATGGTACGAGATTCTAGGGTTTTAGCTAAGGAGGCCTGTTGACCGATTTGGCATAGGGTACGTACGTTGAAGGCTCCAATGTGTAGTTTGGAGCGAGGTTTAAGTAGACCTGGGACTTCCCGGTTGCCCACACCGTGGAAGGGTTCTCCTGGGGGTACCTGAAAAGGAAATTGGGTTAGAAGTGGTTTTAATGACCTGAGAGCGTGACCGCAGTGACCAAGGGACAACTGCTTGAGGTCGGTCACACACGACCTTTTTGTGGGTAGTTTTGTGTTAGCTCCGTTCTTCAAAAAAAATCTTACCGCCGGAGACGGATATCCGTGGGATAAAGCGAGGTTTGCATTTTTAGGGCCGACCTTTTCTAACCCCACCCCTCCTTGTGGGAAGGTAGCATCGCTGTCATGCTGGTTGTCTGAAGGAAACACCTTACTGCCGTCACACCTCTGTACAGTCGACAGTACGACTTCGCCTTCGGACCTTGGGTTTGCTGCTTTTAGTCTCACCGCTCTTCAACCGACTTGTCTGGCATGGTAGGACCTTGAGGAACGATTGCTCCAGCCAGTATAGCTCGATTGCTTCATCACGATAGGCAAGCCCGACCACCACGTCAAGGTAGCAGCAACGGTCGGGATAAGTTTGACAAGTAATATAATTGGACAGTAGATAACTTAAACATGGTTAGTACTTAATTGACAGAACGACCAATATAGTATGAATGAACGGAATTGGTTTAGGTAATGGATTATATGATGCAGAGAAATACAGAGACTACAGAAGTAGTTACCTTGTTTGTGTTCTCTCTCTCTCTCTCTTTCTATATATATATAGTAAGCTCTGAAAGTACGACAAAAGTACTAAATGTCTCGCAATCGAATAGATATTCCAATATAAGTTGAGCTGTTTGTTCAAAAAGTATATTTACAATAAGATATATTGTTTATTTATGTAACTCAGATAATGCATCAAGTAAGTTGGCTTGTGAAACAAAATCTTGCCTTGCAATTTGAGCCTTCTGCTTGGCTAGTTCCAATAAATTTTCTAGATCAGCGCCGCTGAAATTTCAAGAAAGACGAAATGTGTTGTATGAAGGAAAAGAGGATATATTTTTATCTCAGAAAAGAAAGCTTGCAAGGATATATTGTAATTCATTATTTCCCCTTATACAGTATTGAAAATGTTGGACTGATGGTTATGTTGCAAACCTAATACTGGATCCGAATAGATATAGGAAATGTTAGTTGTACGTTAGTCCGCTCGTTTCGTCGCTATTGATATGCTGTTCTAACTGTGGTTGATTAAAAATAATATGAATGAAGTGATTGACTATCGGGTGTATTATTTTCTAAAGTAGCAGTAATCGCTGTGGTAAAATAAATCTGAAGCACGACTTCTGTAATTACCAAATGAGTAAATTATCAAAAATAATCTTGCATTGTTGCTCAAGATGCTAAGAAAACCAAAGATTTTTCTCCGTTATGTTGTATGGATCATGCAAGTCAAATGATAGGACCTTGGGGTAATACGTTAGTGTGAATGTTTGTTGCGTAACTGATTTTTAGTCTTATTGACGTAACTAAAGTAACAGTGTGAACTTACCTATTATAAATAACCAAATATAATGGAAATGATAATCCGTTTAGAATCATTAGGAATACATCGGAAATGTTTAGATACTTGGAAATTCGGTGTAAACTGTATAACCCCTGTTTATGTGAGCTCTCAAATTGAAAAATTGTCAATGATAAACATTCTGAACTTATAAACACAACATACCTATTCACTAGAATAGACTACGTAAGATTACTTTAAAACGAATAAAATTGGAGAACACGTCGTAAAAATTAGATTAGTTACATGAAATTGAAATACCTCATTCTCTCAGTGCGTGAATCATTTGCAATGAGTTCAAGTGACAGCATACCATTCTCAATACGAGGAGTGGTTGCAGACCGAGTACAAGCTGATAAAACAGAGAGACGTTCTTTCACATTAGACGGTGGGTTAATCATCAAATGTAAGCCTAGACGTCCAGGACGAAGTATTGCAGGATCAATCATATCTTTGCGATTAGTAGCACCAACAACAAAAACGCGACCTGACCTATGTTTGTCAATACCATCCAATTCAACTAGAAGTTGATTAACCAAACTAACTCGACTGCCTAAGTGGAAACAGAATATCAGGATAAACAATAAAGATGAAATCATAATTTCAAAAAGGAAGGTTGCATTGAAATCTATTGAGAAAATTAACTTTTGAAATCTAATCAGTTTATACATTACAGATCAATGACACAGTTTCATGTTCTATCACAAAATCTTTATATGTACTTGATAACATGGTAGGAAATTTCGTTGTTTCTAATTGATTATTAATATGTAGAGACGAACAACTCTTATAACTACTATAAATAAGTAAACATATCACCCTATATTTTTCAGCTATTACATTAAGTTTAACCAGATAATGTCTTAGAAGACCGAAGGGAAAGTTTCAATAAACATTAGACTAGGCACATAACGACGACCTTTTGTGTTGAAACTAGTGAACACCAATTGTTTACTTGACTTTTACTAATTTAAACAACCGATCGGCACATAGTTCCATCTAGTTTTGATCATAAGCTTTGGATGGACATTAATTTCAAGTGATAAGCCAATAAGAGAATGACCAGTTGCAGTCCTAAGCATCAATGGGAAGATTCAAACAAACAACACCAAGTGAATTTAAACTTCACCTCAGTGCACAAGCAGGTGGCTATCAGGGCTCAGTAGCTAAGTGAATAACACGATGGCGTTTGAAGCGAACGGCACTGGGTTCGAGTCCCGGAGTGGACATCAACTTTGAGATGCAGGTGCATCTACCTGACGAGTCCCAAACAGGACGACACGCGCGTCCTAAATTCCGTTGCTAACTACTATCCATATTTGAAAGTAATTTGTCAGAACTTTATAATTTCTTACTTATGTCAAGTACTTTGATCTTGATAAAAATATGAAAAATCAGCTTCACTATCACATCGAAATTTTGAGCAAATAAAGAACAAATGAACAGTAGATAAAGGATAGTTGAATCATTTATTTGATTTACTTTTCATTTCACATTTTCATAGATCATCAAACCATATTGATAGTAATAATAATCAATTCTCAAACTGTTATGTAGATCGAATAACTATTTTGTTATCGCCTGAGTGTATTTGATTTTTTTGCTTAAGTTTACGACGTATATTATGTGTTTTTGTTACTCAATGTACGCGCAGGTTGCTAGTCCTGATCGAAATGTATCGGTTAATAAGAAAGTCTCTAGATACGCTGAAAGTGTTTATCATTAAGATAATAAAATTACTTACATTTATGTTTAATACTAGACATACAAGGCCAACAAACTTATGAACAAGCAAGAAATAAACCTCCAAGACTCTTGATTTATGCTAAAAGCTAAATAGAAATTTTGAAAAAATATAGTTTTCAATAATTCAGTCGCATATACATGAACGATGAAATTGAAGCATAACCAAAGCCGATACAAGTAATCGTTTGTATGTGTTAACAGCTCATCCAGAATGACATAGTTTGTGTTTACTGTAAGATGTTGATTTGCAGTGAAATTGACGGGACGTTTTAGGGAATAGATGAGATTGATGAACACTATCATTAGTCTTTCAACTAGCATGCTGTAGCTCAGTGACTTAAGTATTTAAGTGATCCGAATGTCACTCTATCAACTTTATGTTTCCAAGTCAGTAGTAGTAATAAGTGCATGAAATAAGTAAATATTTATTTGTTCATTGTCATATTATTATTTTACTAAAACTAATATGATAGTGAACAATCTAGGTGTTCCAGATGTCGGACAATGGTTGATTTAAAACTAGAATGTTTAAGTGACAAAATTACACAACGTCAAGCTCAAGATTCATATGTGAAGAAAAAAATACTTCCTGTTTATTTGATAAAACTTCGGGTAAAATCTAATAACTCGAATTTACTTGGAAAGATTGGGGAAACATGTACTGATATAATCAAAAACGTCTACCAGAAAATGAATATTCGGTTACCTGTAGATTCATCACTATCGCGTCTTGGACAGATTGCATCTATTTCATCGAAGAAAATCAGACATGGTTGACAAGCACGTGCTCGTTCAAAGATTTCTCGAATACGACGTTCGCTTTCACCTTGGAATTTATTAAGGACTTCTGGACCTTTGACCGATAGGAAATTGAGACCAGCTTGATTGGATAGGGCTTTAGCTACGAGCGTTTTCCCGCATCCAGGTGGACCCTCAAGTAGTACACCTCCAGAACGTCGATGCAAAACCTGAGCACGTTCCCAATCATCGATTAGAAGCTATATACATACATAACAGATACTAATTACATATTCACAAATTAGGTAGCGATATATAAGAGGGATATAGTTAACTTTTATACAGTTTTCAGTTATGTACTAGAGTTGTTTAAATGACGTGAAAACTTTATGACTATCTGGGTACAATATATTGCAGTTTATATGTATAACAGATTGGAATTATTACCGACAAGACATTAGCTTAGCCAACGTCTGCCAAGCACAAAAACTGGCAGTTTAACATCCAAGGCTTATAACTGACCCAATTTGCATTGAAAATAAAGCTCCTCATGAAATAAGCAAATAAAACCTTTTCGATCGACTTCACTTACTTCCTACTTCATTTATTTATATTCTACACATGCGACGATTCTGTGTAATTTACCAGAATTTTTCAAACAACCAAGACGACCAATTTGAGATATAACCAATATGATATAAGATTAAAACTTTTAAAGACGTAGAGATAACAAGAATTTTCTCACCATAAAGCGATTGTATAACTGTTGTCTAGTTGTTTCGAGACCACCGACATCAGCCCAAGTCACATCTGGAATAGTTACAAATTCAGCAGTATTTTTAACTGCTGGAACGACAACAACCAACGCTTTGTCAACGATTTCTCGTGTTACAATTAAAGGATATTGGACTGGCACCTAAAAAGAAGGCAAACGAATCGAAGTTCTAAAGAAAATATAGCTTGTCTGAAAAATTCGAATTTTCAACTTTTTGCCGCGAGAATTATTTCTTAAAAACAGGATACACTATTAGCAAATAGAGTATCACAAGTCTAGCGAACCTGAAAATTTGGATGAAAATAGAATAGTGTTTGTGTTAATAAATGACTAGCTTCTAAACATAACCGTGTTACAAATGCTGAGGACAAAAGACGTACAAACTACTCAAACCTTTTGTTATAGCCAAATAATATCCTCTTTGAATTCCAATTACCACAGAAAACAAACACAATAATAGTCTATGAATTAAAAGCAAGCACAAGTAAAAAGAACTGATTGATTAAGTATTCTATGGATGCTACCCTTATCGTACTCAGTACTGTTGTAGTGAATGAAGACTTGGGGGTGGGGGTGGAACCAATTTATTGTTTTATGCAAAATCATACACTAAATACATTACTTGCATATCGTTCTTGAGTTGTCTTTTACAAACTCCATCATTCTTTCAATGATGATGTTATTGCGGTCGCTCTATTTTCTTTTCTCTTTTCTTTGTTTCAAGCTTCTGCTGGTGATCATTTCACCTCCAATTCTTGCCACATACTACTTACGTCTGTCCACATAAGTAGCGCAGATCACACTATAAGGTGCACTAAGAAACCTAGTTCAATGTAGCCGAATTACGAACAGGAATCAGAATTTCAGTATGTCTGCATAGTGAAACGATACGTGACTAATCCCATTTTATATTGATTATAGATCACTGGCTCTGAGTAAATTGTAGAAAGTCTATCAGTAATAAGTTCGAGCATAGAGTTATGACGCTTTTGGTCAATGTAGGAGAAAAATAATGACATTCAGATTGTTACGTGTTCGCATGTAGGGCTAACCAATATGTAGCCGTACGTTGAGGTTGCCAACTTTGCTTCGCGTTCGTAATTCGGGATCGCCAATAGTGTTGCGTGTTCGTACGTCGGGATTACCAATATGTAGTGTAGTGCTTCGTTAATCGATCGTCTTGATAACCGTTATTATAACAATCTGAACGGTGTATAATATCAGAAGACAAAGGGAAGCAGCAACTACATTTTTATTGATAACTAACATGGGCTAGAAGGCAGTGAGCACATTAGCAAATGTAAGCAAGCGAAGGAAAGATGACGCAGAGTGGAGATGGCTGGGAAGCCAACTCGATTTAAGTAAGCGTTAATCAACATTTATAGTCGGACAAAAATGAGTTACAGACATATGATGAATAAGATACGAAGTGTACACATAAATGCTCATATAAAAGTATAGTCAAGGTTTATAAACAAATGATTAACAAGATCAAAACATGACTCAATGTATAGGTGGATTGGCTAGGCCAGTAACTAGAATAAAGTATATGGGCTCAACATATGAACCGATACTACATAGCCCCCTTGTAGAAAATAGCACATTTATAAAAAAATGTCTGTTTTCGAAAAATAGCACTGAAGCGGTATGTAAATAGTGTTAACATATAGGGAAAAAATTGTACAATACCTGATAAATTACAGTGTCATTTGAGGGGTGAGCGTATCATACAAAAGTGTCACACTTATGTGAAAATGTACATGAAAATTGTCAAAATGAGGACAAAAATTGAAATGCTAGGATGTGATTATGAGTACATTAGTAAGCGTACGAAAAAAAACTTAACATGCATTTATGTAGTGACTGTCCGAATGATAAAATAACATGTTCTTATGACCGATTCGAAATATCTTGAAAATAGAGTAATAAATTGTTTATGGATATGACAGCCGAATAAATCGTGGAAATAAGTTATGTAGAATATAATAGAAATTGGTCTGTAGTGCCAATTGAATATGAGAATGAAGAACAGTGAAATATGATGTTCTGATAAGCTGCAGTCGAGTAAATAGAGTCGCTTAGCGATGAGTGTATTCGAATTTACATAACTGAAGTTTATGTGGGATAAGAAGTAATCCAGCCGTAGGAAGATGACTGCATCAACAGGTGGTATTCATTGCTGTACTGCAATTGATTATGATAATAAAATGCGAAGTCAGTGTGCGTTGTCGCTTTCGTTGAGTTATCCTTAAATATGTATTAGTAGAATGACCGGAGGAACAGAATAGTGACTGCTGAAACGAGATATGCGGAGTCGGATTCCTTTATGGTCATGCAGCCTAGCGTGGTCTGTGTAGTTAGAGGGATATGCGCTCAACCTCGTTTGTTACGAAACCGTATTAAGGCATGATAAAAATACCAGTACATATAATTATCGATGACGGCGAGTAAGACTGACTTGAATGTGACGAACAAGAGTATATCTTTGAGAGACCAGCTCTAAACTCTATGTTCTTGTATACCATGCAATGGAAATAGAATACTAATTGCAGTAATCAAATATTTTTGATGCGTAATAGATGATGCAGCATTCAGATTTACATGTCGATGAACAGATAATATGAACATAATCATTACTAATCGGCTGGTAATGCGGCGTCAAATACTTGGTTTATGTATAGACATTAAAGTAGGGATCATCGTGAAACCAAAATTGCTGAAGCTCAGTTAAGGTTGTCGCGTAAAAAGTAGAAAACGACGATTGCTGAGTACCGATGAGATGAATGAACATCAGTTGTCTATCGAGAACATAAGTTCCTACTATCGGGAGTATGACTCCAAACTTATGTCTGTGATAGAGTGTAATATTAAGCCGAAAATGACATTAAAAAAAATTGGAACGAACTCACTCGAATCAGGAAAAATTTTCGTCATTGGATAATAAAAATAATCCAGTGAGTTTCGAATATCATAACGTGTAATGTCCAAATAATTATAATTTGTTCGATTAGTGATATGACTGCGTAAATGTCATAGTTTATCGTCCTTACGAACAAAAATAATAATTCCACGTTAGATGATGATATGACATTATTGTAATAATGAGCATGTGATGATTATTCGAATCGTAACGGAATATGTCGTCGGCGGTTCCATTTTTGATATGTGTTCGCTCGTTGCGGTCGCCAATTCCGCTGCGTGTTCCAAATACGGCTTGCCAATTATGTTGTAAGTTCGTACGTAGAGGTTGTCGATTCTGGTCCGTGTTCGTTCGGCGAGGCATTTAATTCTGTTGTGGCGTAAATCTGATTCCTTTTTGATCGTATGAATGATAGTTTGTTGTCAAAATATACGTACTGTCTATCCTCGTATGTAATAAATGACTTTATTCCGCGTTGGTGAACAACGTAGTTAAATACGTCAAATACGAGAATGGATTTAGAATACATATAATTTCTACACTCATTGGTCTGGCCAGGGAATCAGAGTGATGAGGCGAATAGATGAGAGCGGAACGAAGCAAAGATCATGCGCAATGGAGATGGCTGGGAAGCCAACTCGATTTAAGTAAGCGTTAATCAACATTTATAGTCGGACAAAAATGAGTTACAGACATATGATGAATAAGATACGAAGTGTACACATAAATGCTCATATAAAAGTATAGTCAAGGTTTATAAACAAATGATTAACAAGATCAAAACATGACTCAATGTATAGGTGGATTGGCTAGGCCAGTAACTAGAATAAAGTATATGGGCTCAACATATGAACCGATACTACAAGATACTTGCGACAAAGTATCACAGTGAATTAATGATACCAAATACTTTATTGATAAATGTTATATTATGTATCTAGCAAACTATATTTTATGAACATGAGTTAGAAGTGACCCGAAGAGTTAGTACATTATCTCCTAATGCAGCATGACTTTACCCTTAAGACGAACTGTAAATTTACCAAGAATTGTATAAGAATAATAGCGAATATTATGAATACGCACTAAACCGAGGATTGTTGTTGACTAATTACAGAAAACCACAGCTACAAAAACCTAAGAGCTACTTATTAATTACAGCTTTTCATAGAAACAACCAAATTAAATCAAATGACATACATAAGAAAACATACCGAAACAGAGTTATCAGAAACACGCGACTCAATGGAGAAGTCAACATGCACCTTTTGACCATTCTTAACACCATCCATATTGTTAGTATCAAGATTATTCAAGTTGTCATCAGCATCATCATCATTAACATCATTAAGTTTACTTGTTAAACAAGCCATTTTTAACTGAGCTACCAGACGAATTAAATCTCCGACTTCATAACCAGGTGTCCGACGTGCTAATTCAAGACATGTTAAGTTTTCACTGAGTTGTAGTTGGCGGGAATTAGAGCTTACTGGTTTCGGTGAAATAAAGTCAGTATCATCTGACAAGTACTGCTGCAATAATCTAATACGACAGAATCAAAAGTAGACAGCATATTATGAATGGATTGAAACCAAAACGATGATGAGGAAACACTGTCAGTTGACACTGACCTCTAATTGTCTTGGTACGGACCGAGAGTGAGGGTAGCTTGCTCTGCTACTGGGAATGCTTACATACGATCATGCATCTATAAACTCGACTAAATGCATTCACACGATGAGGGTGTTATTTACGAAATTGAGAGGACAAAAAGTGAATGACCGGTGCTGGAACCAGGTTGGTGGATACAGAGAGTTGGAAAATCCTGATTTTCAACCAGTGATGTTCATAGGCTCCGAAACTCAGAGAGAGCAAACCGCGTGTGAATCTATACCTGGTTATCGACTACCATACGATAGCATCTCATGATATTGCTCCACTATATTTTGAATTAGACCTAGGGGAGCTAACTGTCTTTGTGGCGGCTTCCATGCAACATCCTAACCCACAAACTATTTTGTGTGGCGTATATTATTTTCTTAAACTCCTCATGTGACTCTTCTGGGGCTACTGAAGGTCCTAAACCCATACAAAGGAGGGGCGTTGAGCGTGAGGTCGGCAACCCCATCCCGTAGAGAAAAAGCTTGCTAAAAAATACACTGACCAGAATAAACAATTTAAACTCTGCCCTCCGAGTTGAATTGGAAGCAGACATTAAAAAGATGAATAGCAACTGGAAAGGATTGCCCAGGACAAAGTTGGATGGAGAATGCTGGTGGCCGGCCTATACTCCACCAAGAGGGGTAGTAACAGGAGTAAGTATATTTTTTAGTGCTCATTTGTACCACATTTCTTTTGACACGTAGGTGTTCTTTCTACCTTTCAATCCTAAAATATTTATTGAAATGTGTTTGGAATTCCGACACTTAAAGCCATACTGAATGAAATTTATGATTATGAGTTAATTTATATTGAAGACATAAAATTTGTGGGTGCAGATTTATGCACCCGATTTTTAACTACACTTTCAGGGAGTGCTGACTTCTTAAACTAGCCGAAGTGGAGCTGAGTTAGACCATATAACCTACTGATTGAAAGTCAAGAGCTCCAACCGTGAAAACACCACTCCTTCAGTTCCTAGGAAACGTTATGAGGGTGTTATCATAATTAATATTCACTGACTAATTAAATTGCGTTAACAGTTACTTGAGCACTGATTTCAGTTGGATAATTTCCAAATATCACCACGAGCATTCATTCGAAGCACTTATTTACATACGATATAAAGATTTATATAACTTATGACTGTATTTCGAATTAGTTAATATTTGTTTAAAATTACATGATGTACCAATACTCATTTTTGATGAATGTTTTAAGACTATTGGCTTACTAGGCCTTTTAATTAAGAAGTTTTAACTGTGTTGTTTGTCTTGATGTCATCTCGTGACTAAAGTATTGTTTTTGATACAAGAATATGTGGCCGTATCAATGCGTCAATAGTTTCTGGAGCATATGAAAAACTATTCTAGAGGACTGGGACTTAGTTATAATAGAACGCCATACAAAGACTCTTTCTTCACAAACTAAGGAAGATACATCAATGATTGGTTGAATGATGCAATGTGTAATGTTAGCTTTTGATTTAAACATCTACCATAAATGTATTCTATCAAATGAAAGTTACCGGAACGTGGCTGACTTCATCTTAGCAAATTTAAGAAGTCATAACATAAGCTAGTGAATATCACTAATTAGTAAAGTTATTGTACAATACGGCAAGCAAGAAAAAAATGCACATAGTAAGATGAAAGACATTTAATAAAGGTACAGTATAAATAATTCTCAGGGTGATCAAACAGTGACAAAGTGAAAAATAAGCCCAAGCAACGACTTTAATTCAACAAGTTCAAATCTATGAAATTTTAAGAAGTGAACTTCACGAGGAACTGTGAATAGGTCGTGCAGAGCTGAGCCCAGTCCATCTGTAGAAATCTGGGAAAATGCACAGACAAAAAACCTGAAGTTATTGCTATTAGATCACGCGTAGCACTTAGCAAAGCACTAGTTTGAGGATGATGATAGTGAACAAAGTTTACTTAGCAAGAGATGTTTAAGATGCAACAAAACAATCAGTTGAAAGGGTTACGATATCTGTAGAGTTAAATAATTTTGTCGACTAAACAACTATAAAGTTCAATCTTAAACTAGTAGACTTACCTCAAGCGATGAGTCTCACTTAACATTCCAAATGTCAACTTCTGTGTAAACAAATCTAATATACTTTGGGGTAGACTGGCAAGAAGTGATCGAGTTTCCCCAATAAGTACAACGCCTGAGCTGACCATCTCTAAAATCATTAAAAATGTCACACATGTATTAAATCGAAGGCAAAACAGATTCCTGTATAATATCTTGTAATATATGAAAACAATGACAGCAACAAGCAATGTAATATGAAAACGAGAGAGTTGTGTGTGGTTTTTAAAGAGTGAAACAAACACCATATGATAGCAAAAATCAACATCAAACCTGTTTTGAACCAGGCAGTTGACAGTCCAGCCTCTAGAATGCCTGCTTCAGTTTGGGCACCTGGGCAGTACCACAGCCCTCACAAATCGAATGAGATTTGTGTGGCGCATGTTTATCTGGTGCTTCCTTGTACCAATATGTGTTTAAATAAATAAATAAGAATACCATACCACAAGGCTTCACGAGTTATAGATTAGTGGTAATGCCATGAGTTTATGAATAATCCAAGTAACCGTGTTATTTCATTGTTCACCTGACAATCGGGCTTCAAAATATTAAAAAGCTATATTCACTACTTTACTCGACAAGTCCCCCAAATCACAACAAGGTTGAACAAGAACGTAATTATATTCCGAATAACAAGGTAGAATGGGAGTAAAGGTCATCGCTAAAATCTCTTTATTGGTCCCCTTCCATTTTGATATTTGCGAAGTATTTTTAAGTGTGCCAACAAAGCGTTCAATTTGGCTATCGGACCACAAATGGAATGAAGGTGTTCCGATATAATTGGTTTCGTTCCGCTGACAAAATTCTGCGAAGGTAGCAGACGTAAACCATGTCTTATTATCGCTAACTATTAACTCAGGAATCCCGAAACGACTGAACGGTTGATTTAGTTTTCTGACTATGCAGATTGCAATTGGCTGTTCCATGAAAAGAATTTCTTGCCACTCGCTGTATGCACCAACTAGAAAAAGGTAAGTTTGTCCATGAAGTGGACCAGCGAAGTCTAAGTGTATACGCTGCCACGAAGACTGTGGTGTTGGCCATGATTTAAGCTTTGCGTTCCGCGGTGCTTTTGTTGCTAATGCGCATCTATTACATGAACTGTACAGCGACTCCAGTTGGGTGTCTTAGTGAGGCCAATATACATAACTTCGTTCTACGCTCTTCTGAGATTTATTCCAGGGTGTTCTGCGTGTAGTCGTTCAAGCACTGCTCATTGCGGTTTCTTTGGGATCATAACACATTTCTCAAATACAGGGCAGTCATGGATGATTGACACAGTCTGACCCAGTAACACCTTTGAAGTTTCGTGGAGCTGATCTTCGAGAGCCATCCTTTTAGGTGGGACTTTAACTTGTAGCTGAGTCTCGAAGAGTTTCTTACCTGACTTCATCAGACGACACTGGAGTGTTTTGAATGGTATCTGATACTAAACACTTTACTCCTGGATCTATATCTATGAAGGCAATGATCGTGTCCTCTGGTACATGGTGTTGAACGTCAACGAACCGAGGGAGGACATAAGACTGATCGATGACATTTGTCCCGACGGTAGCTGCTATTTAAAAATCCTAAGGAGTGGTATGTTAAGGATGTAGAAAAGATGGAAAAGGCAGTGATGATTAGTAACAGTAAACAACTGATCAGTCTGATCAAGGAAACGGGTATTAAAAGTTCGATTGTTAGTGAAACTACCTCAGTCACCCGCTATCTCCAATCAACCTAAATGGCAAAATGATGCACGTCCCCCAACTCTTAGCGAGATTTAAAAGGGTATAAGTAATCTAAAGTGAGGGAGAGCATACTCTGGAACATGAACATACTTTTTGACATCCGACTATATTTGTATTCTTTAACCTTAGACCAACGTTTGACTTCGTTGATAGTGAGGTTCTGTGGCAGTAATCACTGAAAGGGGTACCAAAAAAGTACATTAACTCTGTACAGACTCTACACGAACACTAATGGTCGAGTAAGAGCTTATGGCGAACTGTCGTCAGGATTAGTTATTTCAAGTGTTCATTAGGGTTGTTCACTTTCTCCATTTTTACTTAACTTGGTCATAGAAATGCTTTTAGAGATAACACTTTCATCGTCTGACTTATCAAAGATTGATCTACCAGAAGATTCATTTATTGACTTGGAATACCCAGACTATATGATTCTGTTCGTTGAAGACACTGACCAAATGCAGTCTCCTGACCACCTTAAGAAACAATGCAAGCATGTTTTTGATGCAGTTGTCTCCCTCCAAATGTAAAATGTTACTTCAGGGTTGACTTGCGTCAGTGCCTGAATTAGTGATCGGGAGTGAAGTAGTTAAACTCATCGACTGCTTCACTTAAGATTCTCACCAGTCTTGGTGGTCAGATGTCTGATGAAGCTCGATTGGCTTTTACCAACTTGCGTCACTTATGGGGTATGCCAGATATACGTCTTCCAACCAAAGGAAAAGTTTACTGAGCAGCAGTTTGGTCCGTTTTACTTTATGAGCGTGTAACATGGCCATTAAGAATAGGCGATATTCATAGATTCTTCGAAGTATTGCTCATGTATTTTGGGACTGCGGAATAAGCAATCCCTGGGTTGGGAATAGGGTTTTAAGTAAGGATGGCAAATCGACTGATGATGTAGTAAATTTTCATCAACTGAGGTGGTTGGGACATGTTACGTATGCCCAACCACCAGCTAACTCGATGTGCGATGTTCTCTAGTGCACGAATAGGCCGGAAGAAAGTTAGGAGCAGCCAAACTAGAACATGGCATCAGTCCATGAAGTCACTGACAACTGGACTAAGTTATGTTAATAGGTATAAACTGCCTAGTTGGGGCCCACGTGATTATCGTAACCAATAGCTTGAATGACATGGCTCAAAATCGTTTGCAATGGCACAGGTGCATTCATACTTTGTCTTCCTCCGAATCCTGAGATTCTAGACTCTTCATAATCTTTTTGTTGTTATTTCGTTAGTTTATATTTTCTTTCCGAGTTGAATCTTCGATACCTAATCTTTTCCATTACCACCGATACTGTTGATACCTCCAATACTCTGGAATTCGGCCTGAAAACTTCATCTCACTATGACAATGGGGTATGGCAACTTAAGCCGATTGACATACGTACAGGTTTTATGTTGTAACTGGTCAATGGTATTTGTCAACTGATACTTAATGTTGAAGTCATAGCTCAGGAGCATTGTTGTCCAGTGCAGTAATCTGCTAGTCGTATAGACAGGAATTTCTTTCTTAGAGATAAAAATTGAAATTAAAGGTTTCCGATCTGTCAGTACAGTAAACTTACGACCGCAGAGCATTTTATGGAGTCTGTTAACAGCGGATATGATTGTAACGGCTTCCTTTTCAATCTGACTGTAGTTCCGCTCGGCCGGTGTGAGTCTAACAGCATAAGCAATCGTCTTATCTGATTTGTCCGGAAACACGTGAGATATCACTACGCCAACTCCACGACTAGAAGCATTAGATACAACAACAATTCACAAGCTGGGTTTAACGTGTGTTTCTTCACGTAGTTGGGATCCATACCCCACCACTTGGTTAAGAACTTGATTCAGTCGATCTGAAAGTTTACTGTCAGTTGGACCTATAACAATGATACCACCTAGATAAGCTGCTGTTCTAGTTATACCTTTTTACATGGTATCCATTGTTTGCTGAAAGATGGGAGGTGTGGTCTTGATGCCAAATGGTAGGAGGGTATATTGAAATAGTCCGCGATGAGTGTTGATAGTCAGAAGCTCTCTACAATCAACACTTACTACTTTCAAACAGGCATCAGAAGAGTCTATTTTAGAAAAACATGTTCCAACATTTATGCTTAGCAAACAGGTCGTCAGGAACTGGTAACGAATATCGATATACATCCAATACAGCGTTTCGACCGGTTGGGAAGTCGGCATACGTGTATAGTTTCATCGGCCTTCTTAAGCACTACGGTCGCTGCTGCCCATGAACAGTAGTTGACTGGTTGGATTATACCAGCTTGCTGTAAACGATTAAGTTCCTAATAGACCAGTTCAAGAACAGAATACCGTGCAGAACGTTCCGGAAAAATGGGTTTGGCATCTGGTTTCGCTGGTAAATTAGCATATATCTTGGCGCAGTGACCAAGGTTATTCTGGAGAACAGAAGGGGGTTTTCTCTTGAGCTTTTCTAGAAACTTCTTACCTATCTTTCTTGCAAATTTTTGGATGTCTAGTGATGGACGCAACAAGTTGCAGACACTGTTAATAGGTATCTCCATACTTAACTACAACCCCAAAAATGTGGACGTGATGAACCATGTGACGAATAGCGCACCTAGATAGGTTTAATCGGAATAGAGACCTTATATGCATGTAACTCATACTATTCAAGGGTCAGTTGGTCATTATGGACAATTAAAGAGTATGAATCAATATAAGGATATTGATACCTTTAAGCAATTGACTTTTTAGAAGGCAGGTAAGACGGAACGTCCCAACAGGAGAGGAATGTTTCTCCATACTTTCAATATCATCCAAATGCAAAATACATGGTGAGGAATTCTAATCGGATTTCAATTAAGGAACTAAATATACTTTAGCTTGGTTGAATATATCCATCCATGGACGCATAGATGATGGTACTGTACCAACCGAAACAGTGATGATTTTTAAACCTAGGGTCTTCAATTATTCAAAAAGGAAACGTTTTGTGATTACTCCACATGCTGCCTCAATCAATGTAGTTTTGCCACAAAATGGAGGGCCATTGATCAACAAGGATGGCCAAACTGGTAATCCGATGTCGGAAAGTAAGTGGCATGCGAGAAAGCCTTTTATTTGCCTCTGAAATATTTGTAGAGGAATACAAACTACTTACTCGTAAATCCGCTGGAACTGTATGGCTGATATCTGATAACGTGGAAGAAACACATCGGGCAGAGATAGATTCAGCTAAATGTATGAGTCAAATCTATACGTATGTTTACTTGTTGATTCTAAGCTCATCTTGGAACGTTTACGTGGAAGCTTTCTGTCGAAATCTACTGACATATCTAATTTAGGAAACTCCGATTCGTCAACCATGATAGGTGAATCTTTTGGAACAGGATTGACCATTGTACGAGTATTCACTAGCCTTAACGCTAAACAAAATAAAAAAAGCATAAACATATACCTTTGCAAGCATCTTTGCGCCATAACTTCATATTAGATCTACTACAACTTGTGGACTTGTCTCGAATTATATATTCTGAAAACTCATCCACAGATGAACAGTCAACAGAAATCTTTACAAACTAAAGGAGAATGAATCAGGATTTCCCAAAACAAACCTGTTCAGCAAGCGGAATTAGATACGCCCGTTGAATTTGTGGAGAGCCATATCCACATCCTATATCATTCATAACGCAGGCTCTATATGAACAATAAGAATTTTAACTTTCCAATACAGAAAACAATGAGTTATTGATTACTTGAAATGGAACCCAAACTAGCATAATAAAAAGGTTAAAAATTGCTAGTGATTTTTTTGCTAAATTCATCAAAATCCTAGTAGTCAAGAGTTCGAAACCATGGTGATACACATAGGCATACACTTAACACATCTTAAAAACCAAGAAACATTTCTTTTAAAAGCCCTTAATTCGGTCAAGAAGCTTTGATATCATTGAAGCTTGACAGACAAAAACTACACTACATTTCGTTTAATCAGAGGGTAATGATATTTCTCATCACCCATCTGGACGACGGTGCCGCCTAATGCAATAGTATGAAGAAATTGAAAGGTTTATGACATAATACAACCCAATTTCATGGTGATCCATTTTAAATGTATACGGAAACGACTGGATGGCTTCCAAGTGTATCAGTTATACATCAAAATGTGGTAAACCGAAGTTCTAGCGATTCGCAGGACGTAGTCTGCTAGGTCCTAGAGCTAATAGTTCGCATACTGCAGTCGGTTAACATACAACCGATATTTGGTTGAAGTATATTTCTCATAACTCAAAATCTAATAAATTCTTAGTCAGTGAGACTATACTTTATGGACGACCTTTGAGACACTAAAGTGGCCTCGAGAATGTCCATCTACAAACTAGAGCTAAGTGAGGATTATAAACCTTTGTGAAGAGCCAGGATTATGATTTACAGATGGTTGTTAGAGTTAGGAATTAGATTTAGGATTTTCATCACGAACTGAGATCAGCTAAAATACTGAAACACTATTTAACCAAGTGGATAAAGAATTCCATGACGAAATCCAGGACCTGTTATCGTTAACCTGCCTGGTTTGTTATTATAATTCCACTGTCTTGGTTTCCAAAGCAAAACCTACACATACATATAATTAAATAACACTGGCATTATAGTTGGTGTCAGATAGTGACGGAAACCCAGAAATAACTTCCTAACCCTAAATTCTGACTCTAAATCTTAGTTCCTTATACTAATACTGACTCTCCCTATATCCTGAAAAGTAAGTAGACTCAAGGTCACGTCAGCGTCGCTTATACGTACCACCGCTTACTCTATTTTAAGCTACTTAAGTCATGTGACTTCCGAATTCAAACGGAGCATTTGATTTTTACTTCAATAATGTTCTTATCATGCAGTAATAGGCTCCACAAGTTTTGCTAAAATCAAAGCCTATTTAGGATGAAATTCACAATGTAAACTCGTGGAGGGCAGGGCGAAAACTGAAACCAAAGACTCAACTAAATTCAATTTAACTCATAAATCATTCAATCATGAAGCACCATTAAAAACCCAGAAGCGGTAGACGGCCGTTTCATCGTATTATGGGACGAAACAGTAACCTCCACAACCCTATGCCGACAATGTTGATTTGACTATTAGATTAATTGTTGCGAGCGATAAAAACTGATTACGATGAAGTAGCGAAACAAAAGCATCAATATTTGCAACAATGAGGAATTTGAATTTATTTTACGATTTGGCTTTACACAAATTCACCGAACCCTTAGTAGTGGTTTACACAGAGAAGACAACTAACCTTCACAGGCAAGGTAAATAAGTCAATGCGTTTTCAAACCTGCCCGCCGTTTCATTTTTGCGACCTTGAACGGCCTGACACGAGGCGGTCATTCCGTATTTGATTTTTTGAGGGTCGGTTGGTTATCCTCTGGGTTGCACGAATATCAGGTTTTCTTGTATTTGCGTCTTTTTTGGCTGTAGAAAATTCGCAAAATCAATGCCAAATGCGTTTATTGTGCTTACTGTGTTTTGTAATGTACAATTTGGCTCTTTTGTTGCTACGTAACTTGACCTGGGATACCAATTACCCTACTGAACCTCACTCTCCTTGTTTAAAATTCGTTGGGGTCCGCAAAACTGCGTATTCATTATAAATTATCAGTTAAAGATACTATGAATTTGTGTGAATTCTTGTTTTCTGCAAGAATTAAGACGACATGACGAGTAACCCGTAATTCCTAAATGTTTGTAGTCCTTACTTCAGTTGCTGAAGTATTATCGCATGAAATAGCTGTTTTTTTAGTAATTAACGAGTGATGTTTGTAGTGATTTATGTTCCAGAGACATTTCGGTCGACTTAAGTGAGGCGTTTCAGCGCATAATACTGAGCAGGCGTTTTGGAAACTAGATTGAATTCGATGGTGTGTTTAAGGAGTTCCAAAAAGTGTGGATGCATAATTCCATTCCTTTTTCAGACCACACGTACTCATAACATTCACGGCGAAAGTAAACTGCTGAAGGACGTGCGATTTAAATACAGTTTTCTGGTGTTATGAACTAGATGCAGGCACTTGCGAGTGCAATTGTCGAACATTTATGACTTATCGTTATCCCTGACGTCATATTATACTGACATATGTAAAAAGACCAACTCTTACAGTTAAGCTTAATCAACTACGAAATAAACTAATTAGCTCATCACATACTTAGACCATGCAGCCTATGGAAGTTAAATAGCACGCTTAACTTCCATTACAATACAACATCATTACCCAGACGGAGTGAAGAGTATATACGAATCCAAAGAAGCCAGAAAGTTCATAAACAACAGATAGTTGAAAAATATGGTAAATACTTCGCCATGGTGGTGTAGAAAAAAGTAGACAATTATCACTTAAAAATCAATAATTAGGTAAGACTGCCATTTCTCTTCCTGTAGTCCTATCTACGATCAGTATATTCGGATGAATAATTGGAGTGGCATTGTTTCCTAATCACATGGTCTCCGGAATCAAGCATATAATAACTAAAAAGATGTAACACTTGGAGAAGGTCGGAAGTGGTGAACGTGGAGATATTCATTCAGTCAAATGGCATGAGTCAGTGTTGCAGACGCGCTCATCATGTTTAACTCATTTATATTCACATTAAATATATTATTCTATCCCAATCATAAATGTGTTCTTCAGAAGTACTAAGTATTGTTATTTGTCGCGATACGATGGGTCAGTGTAGATAGTGATGCGATTTTCACGTAAGATCTTACAGACTAGGCAATCAAACGATAAATTTACCGTTATCGGACAACGTTTATTATGAAAGTAGTATTAGTACCGAACTAGACTATACACATACTGAAAAGATTTAAAGTGCGAAAAACTACAGTTGTTATATTTATATCATATTTAGATAACATTAGATGAATAAACGCGGTAGTGGTCAATACAAAACACAGTTATCGTCAATGTGTGAATTGTTTCTCCGCATAAACTTCCATATTCAGAAATTCGCCAAGTTGTTCACCTGCATAGACTTGATTATTACAAAGATTTGAGCCTTCCAATTAGTTGACAGAAGTCATAAGTTGTATAACAAAATGTATGGATAGCTTGCTCTATGCAATTCTGAAAAACAACAAATCAATCGTGAAAGAAAAGATTAAACCTCGTTATTATTATGAAATTCCATAAGTAAATGAAATAGCAATTGATAGGATGTACCTGTACGTGTTTTACTTGCTGTAAACAGTGCTCTTCATTTTCTAACCTTCCTACAATTTCATCTAGTTATTCGGTATTAACAAACATACGAAGGGACTCACAAACTTTAATTAGTTATATGAAATTTGAGAGAAACCCAATTACAACGTTCATAATACTGTTTACATACAATAATGAAATAACTGGTAACCACTATTTAGCGATTACTCGTCAACATGCATTAACACTTTGTTTATGATTTAGTCAGTGATTTCCGATTCTGTTAACAGAAATTTATATTTTAACCCTATACGAGACATCGTAAAATAGTATTATCTACAACATGTTTTAGTTACCATGCTCATAACAAACACGCATCGCTTTACTTAAGAAGAGTATTTGGCAAACTTTTGTGGCACTTACAGTAATGTTCTGCATAATTTCTGTATAAATTCAGAAAGCGGACAGAAAAATCTATCAACGCCAATTGTTACTAACATAGTTTTTTTTCCCACATTACGTAATATCATATCAGTCCAGTTAACAACGATGATACTTATCATGGATTAAACTGTTTACGGCTGTATATTAATAGTTCATATCGTAATGTAGCACGTCATATATTGACGTCCACTTTGAAGCGGGAGCGATCTGAAACAACAACACTACAGTGAGGACCGGTAAGTGCCGTCGAAGTAAGAACACAATGTACTGGTACAACAGATATATTTGTAAAATTGAAAGACACGGTTGAGTGCAAAGAGGGAAACTTTCTACAGAATAGTTTTATTCATTGTCCTGCTCGTTCAGATCGCGTAGGGCTTCTTCCTCTATTTCCAGTGCGTTTACTCTTTGTTGCCCTGAAATAGAAAAACAAACTCCCATTAGGAACGTCGCATGGAATGATTATTAATTTACCATTACAAGATTCATGAATAGTTTGACTCTCAATTACAATTTATAACAACTACTAACACCCACGTTCATCCCCATACAACCAATAAAGGGGAAATAAAGCGAAATTTCCCCGACTTTTACCTTAAATATCCGACGAATTTCCGATTTTCACCCTAAATATCCGACAAATTGTCTATTTTTCTACTACATGCACACCGATGTAATTTAAGCGCCCACTTTTAAAACGCTGCTGTATTTACCCCAACCGCCTCCTGTGTTCACCTTCATTCCCACAACACAGCACACGAATAATATACTTACTTACTTACTTACGCCTGTTACTCCCAATGGAGCATAGGCCGCCGACCAGCTTTCTCCAACCCACTCTGTCCTGGGCTTCCTTTTCTAGTTCCACCCAGTTCTTGTTCATTATTCTCATGTCTGTCTCTATTTCTCGGCGTAATGTGTTCTTTGGTCTTCCTCTTCTCCTTTGACATTCAGGATTTCATGTGAGGGCTTGTCTTGTGACGCAATTAGCTGATTTCCTCAAGGTGTGCCCAATCCACTTCCAGCGCTTCTTCCTGATTTCTTCCTCTGCTGGAATCTGGTTTGTTTTCTTCCACAGTAACTTGTTGCTGATAGTGTCTGGCCATCGGATCCGAAGTATTTTGCATAGACAGCTGTTAATAAACACTTGTATCTTCTGGATAATGGCTTTCGTAGTTCTCCACGTCTCCGCCCCATACAGTAGGACTGTCTTGACATTTGTATTGAAAATTCTAACCTTGGTGTTGGTTGACAATTGTTTTGAGCTCCAGATGTTTTTCACTTGTAAATATGCTGCTCTTGCTTTGCCGATCCGCGCCCTCACATCTGCATCTGATCCACCGTGTTCATCAATGATGCTGCCCAGATATGTAAAGGTTTCCACATCCTCCAAAGCTTCTCCGTCAAGTGTAATTTGATTGGTGCATATTGTATTGTATCGGAGAGTCTTGCTTTTCTCTTTGTTTATATTGAGACCTACTGCTGCTGAGGCTGCTGCTACACTGGTCGTTTTCTCCGGCATTTGTTGTTGCGTTTGTGATAGAAGAGCCAGATCATCCGCGAAGTCTAAATCGTCAAGCTGCATCCTGCCTGTCCACTGTATCCCGTGATTTTCTCCAGATGTTGACGTCTTCATGATCCAGTCGATGACCAGAAGAAAGAGAAAGGGTGAGAGTAAGCAACCTTGCCTAACACCAGTCTTTACTTTAAAAGACTCAGTGAGTTGTCCTCCGTGGACGATTTGGCAGTTTAGTCCATCATAGGAGTTCCGTATGATATTGACTATTTTCTCAGGCACGCCGTAGTGTCGAAAAAGCTTCCATAGTGTCGTCCTGTCCACGCTATCAAATGTCTTCTCGTAGTCGATGAAGTTGATGTAGAGTGATGAGTTCCATTCGATTGATTGTTCCACAATGATCCGCAGAGTTGCGATTTGATCTGTGCACGATCTATCCTTACGAAATCCAGCTTGTTGATCTCGAAGTTGTGCGTCCACGGAATCCTTCATCCTGTTTAACAATACTCTGTTGAAGACTTTTCCTGGTATTGAGAGAAGAGTGATGCCCCTGTAGTTGTTGCACTTGCTAATATCACCTTTCTTTGGTATTTTGATCAGAAGTCCTTTTTTCCAGTCTGTTGGTACTTGTTCTTCGTCCCAAATCTTACTAAAAAGGATGTGTAGTATCTTGGCAGTTGCTGTTACATTTGCTTTCAGTACCTCTGCAGGGATGTTGTCTGGTCCCGCTGCTTTGCCACTCTTGACTTGTCTAATGGCCGTGCTGATCTCTTCAATTGTTGGTGGGCCAATATCGATTGGGAGGTCCGTGGGTGCTGCTTCGATGTTGGGTGGGTTCAGTGGAGCTGGTCGATTCAAGAGTTCTTTGAAGTGTTCTACCCACCTGTTTCGTTGTTCTTCAATGTCGGTGATTACTTTGCCTTCCTTGCTTTTCACTGGTCTTTCTGGCTTACGGTAATTTCCAGCAAGTTTCTTTGTTGTATCATACAGTTGTCTCATGTTTCCCTCTCTTGCAGCCTTTTCCGCTGTCGTTGCTAAATCTTCCACATATTTACGTTTGTCGGTTCTGATGCTCCTCTTCACTTGCTTCTTTGCTTCTGTGTATTCGGCTTGTGCCTTGGCTTTTTCCGCTCTGGTTCGGCTGATATTGATTGCTGCCTTCTTGTTCCTCCTTGCTTCAATCTTATCCA